CAAATTGCAAAGAGATTTTCACAAATTATATCTATGATGAATAGCAACTTAAGGCTGAGTGGTACATTAATTTTTACACCTGAGCCATCTGTCTACTCAATCCTAGATCATGAATAAAGGTTCTGCAACAACAGCAGCACCCATCCTGCTGTTAGCCACTCTGTGCCAAGACCGGTGCTGATCCCACTGGTTTTACCTCCTTGTGATGGATCTCTCTTACCTCGGGGTCCTCCATATCCATCTGGTTTAAGTGGATATCTGATGTTGTGAGCCACTGGAAAAGCACATCCTGGGGAAGGGAAAAAATTACTTTCAGGAGGATCCAAGTAATCTCATACTATGCTTAAATATTCATATTAAATCTATTAAATAGCATATAATGAAAAAGATTTAAAAGAAGATAATAAATCAAAGAATATCTCAGTATTGGCTGAGAAGTCCCATACTGAATCCATTTCACAGATGCCTTGCTCTAAAATGAAGCTGAGCCTGGAGTGCTTTGCAAATGTTGTGAAGATACAACAGGGTGTTTTTAAAGGGGAAAAAAAAAAACAACTCCCAAAAAACTCCAACTTACCATGATCTTACCATTTTCTTCTTTATCTAAATACTGGTCATTGAACATGTGGGAAGATCCCAGGGCTGCCATCTTTCCACCTTTACTCTACCAACAAAGCACACAATATAGCAAAAATTCCTTCCAAATTGCAGTTTTAGAGGCAATTGTTATTGCATTGCATTACTTGTCTACATAGTAAAAAACTGTGTTAACTTATTCACATTCATTAATAATATCAATCCTGTGCTTGTAACTCTTTACTACTACATTTCTGCATTTATTTTTATAAATTAACTAGGCTGAATGTAAAAAAACAACATACCAAAAAAATACTGATTCCAAAGTGAGAACCTTGTAATTCAATATGCTGTACTTACAAAGCTAATAATAATATTATTTGATAAATTATTACTAAAACAGCAGAAAAAACACCAAAATTTTAATGAACTAAAGATATTCACCAGTCAACCAAAAAAATATGTAATCTTTGTTGACCACCTCATTAATTCTCCTCTGAACCATGAAGAAGTTTAACATAAGAAAAGTCAGGAGTTACTGGGCTCATCTGGAGTTTGCAGTTGCATCAAAAAACGAGGTGGGTTTGTAAGCATTCCTGAAAGATCCCCTCACAATTTTTGTGTGGGGCAGGGGGAATGCAGGGAGGGCCCAGGCAGCTCATACCTCATGCTGATAGAAAGCCAGGATGGGCCTGTTGAGAGGGAAGCAGACAGACCCCGTGGACAGAATTGCCACTGCTGGCTTCATCACATTGAGTGTGGCTCCAAAAGGATAAACAAAGGTGAGAGCTCTGCAGGAAATACAGGAATTCCATAAGCACCTGCATGCACCAGGCAGGCTGGACAGATTCACAGAACTCAAACTGAAACCCATAGACTAGAGGCAAACAAGATCTGGTCATGAGAACAGTAATTCCTTTCCACACCTATCCCTCCTGCTCCTTCAGAGGACACCAAGCTCTACTAAACAGATTCTCCTTTCCAGATATAACCTCAGAAGCACAAGAACATAAGAAATGCATTAGAAAACCTCACCATAAGCAGAGTGCACTGCTGCTAATCACAAACCTGACAATCCTGAGGTGTTCTACATAATTTCACATCAGTTTCCTCAGAGAAAACACTTACTGTGAGTCATGGCCCCTTCCATCTTCATCTGTTGTCTCAAGCACTGTTTTCTTTGCAGCTTCACTGATTGCCCTACAAGATATTGAAAAACAAACCTTACTGAAAAAAACTCAGATTACAAAAGTTTACTGTGGATATTCACATACTCCAAATATTTACCTGTTCAAAACTCCATCAGAGATTAGTGCTTCTTTTGGGTGGTGGTACTTGTAATACACATTTCGTACTACAGCATCTTGAAAGAAGAAAAAAATATATAGAAATTGACATCTTAGATGACCATTGTCTTAGATTTAGCAAAGAAAAATCAGTTTAGCTCTTGGATTCCCTGGGTGTTTGCTTCTAACACCACAAAGCTGACATTTGGCTACCAGAAGAACTGAAATCAGCCTTTACTACTGCCTTCTTTTGGACAGAATAGATTTAGCATAGGAAAATGCTTGCAAATACAAATAAAAATACAAAAAGTTAAGCACATCACCATCTTCTGCAAAGCAAAAGAGACAAAAAATGATCCAGTTAAAAGAGCCTGTACCAACTTTTACAACTCTATTTTTTATACATCTTCCAAACACTTGATGAATTGAGTCCTACTGATGCAAAAAAAGGCATAGTCTAGAAAAGCCACTAAAAACCCCAAATATTTTATGTACATTGACATACACTTGCCTTGGGTTGTTGGGGTTTTTTCCCCACATTGGAAGCACAAAAACAATGAATTACATTTTCTTGGTCTAATAAAGAAAATTCCACTTCTTATTCAGGGCGAGTATTAAGTGATTCAATCATTTAAAATGTGTGGAAAATGTTTTAAATTAATGGCTTTTAAATCAAGAAATTTCCCTAAAATTTTTTAAAATAAATTAAAGAAATGGAAAGGATAAGTTGCCCATGTACTCTGTCTATGCAAAGCCTTTGCTGTGCTCCAATATTACCTTGCCATGTGCATGCAAATTTAAAGAAAAAAAAAAATCTTTTAGATCAAAAGATACTTTGTGAGAAAGATCTGCTTGGCTTGTATCCACGAAAGCTCAACCTGCTCTTTGAGTTTTGCTGCAAATTGATGATTAAAGGTAGCAGTGAACCTCATTACCATTATTGAAAATGATCCCATATTCTTCTAACAAAAAGTTAATATTTGTGCCATTCCGGGACTCTCCACCTTCTCTCAGCATCACCAGGATGGCCCCACCATCCTCCAGGAATTTCTTCAGAACTGAAAACTAGAAATCAACAAAGATCCAGAAAAAACAAACAAACATGAGAAGCTACACACAAAACTGTAGGAAACTACACTGAGATGAGGGCAAAGAAATTATTTTGACTGTTTGCATTTAACTTTATCCTATAAGAAAAAATGTTTAAATTCCAATTTATATGAACTCCTTTAAAGCAGCATTATAGCAAAGTCTTCTGTCTTGTTCTTTTCTACTTAAGCAAATTTTAAAACATAATTAACTTGAAAACAGTTATTGACTTCTTACCTCATCAGCACTGAACTTCTCTCTTGGTCCTGCTGTAATCCACAATTTCACCCCAAGCAGTCTCTCAGATGTGATCTCATCTTTTAAGCTATGAATAAATTAATAAAGACACACATTATTCTTGGATATAGTCCTGAACCACAACTTTTTCCTTTTGTGTTTTTTATAAAGAACTGGCAAATGAACACAAAGCAAATCACTTCAGTCACCTCACATCCTTTCATCTGGGTTTAAAGTTGACAACTTGAGCAAAAATAATCCTAACAAATGTCAGCCAGCTAAAAAGTAACGCTCCTCTGACAAGGCACTGCTGCAAGCTGTCACAGCTGCTATTAAACTTTGCACCTGAGGAGCTTCCTATTATTTTTCTTTTTCTTCTTTTTGATCTGGCCACATTTCAAAAATGAGGTGGAAGGAACCCACTGGGACGAGTGGAGCCCAGCCCCATCCCTGCACAGACCCCCCAACAGCCCCACCTGGGCACCCCTGGCAGCGCTGTCCCAACGCTCCCGGAGCTCTGGCAGGTTTGGGGATGTGCCCATCCCCTGGGGAGCCTGGGCAGTGCCAGCACCTCTGGGGAAGAGCCCTGCCCTGATCTCCTCTCCCAAACAACTCCACGCTGTGCCTTTTTGCAGTGGTCAGATAAACAGTACCATCTACAAAACCTCTGTTTTCTTTTTTGCCCCAAACTCCAAATCGAGCCAGACTCACCAACCTGTACGAAAAGCCTCATCCTTACACGTTACACTCCATCCTTACGCCTTACACTCCACCTCCTCCACAGGTGAGCTGTAGCTCCCAAGAACCACCCACAGCATCCCACAGCGGCAGAAGATGCAACAGGGCGCCATCGACGCGAGAGAGCGGCCTCAGCTCACCGCACACACCCCAGAGGCCGCTCGGGAGCCCAAGGCGGCCCACAGCCGCCCGCCGGGGCCTCTCCGCGCCCCCAGAGCCGCCCCTCACCTCTGCACCTTCCAGCTGCCGCGCAGCCTCTTCCGCAGGGCCTTGTAGCCGCCGGCCGGCGTGAAGCTCTCGCCCTTGGAGGCGTTGAACACTATGGCATTGCGCGGGCCGCTCTCCATAGGCTCCCGGGCTGCCGGAGGGCTCTGGGGAGCAGCGGGCCAGCGCCAGCGCCACGGCCGCCCGCGGGTGCCCAGCCAGGCCCCGCCGCGCCGCCGCCACCACGCGCGCCCTAGCAACGCTCCCCCCGCACGCATGCGCGGCTGGCGTTCCCCCCCCATCGAGTGCAGAGGGAGCCGTAGTGGTTCGCTCCACTCCCATCCAAGGGAAACGGGAGGGGCGGTACCACTGCGGAAGGCGGGGGGTGTGACACGGCGGCGCGCTCCCGCCCGCCCTCAGCCCCAGTCCGCCCGCCCTCAGCCCCAGTCCGCGCTTGTCAGGGCCAGACGCACTGCTGCTGTTCTGGAGCCCTTCTTGGCGTTCCTGGGCCTTTCATTTTGTTTGTGTCAAAAATCCCAGCCCTGACAGCTGTGAGGCTGGGGAGGCCCTGGCACAGGTTTCCCAGAGAAGCAGTGGCTGCACCTGGAAGTGTCCAAGGCCTGGCTGGATGTTTGGAGCAGCCTGGAAGAGCAGGAGGTGTCCCTGCCCACTGCTTTTAAGATCCTCAAAGGATCTGCTCCTTTGAGAATCATGGAATTTTTGATTCTGTGTGTGCTTTTATTACGGAATTCCTCTCTAATTATTTAAACGCAGCAGTGTTAGTCACTGTCTGCACGCAGCGCCGTGCTCTCAACCCAGCACAAAGCAAACAGCCTCCTTCCCTCTTAGCCAGGACAGCCAGAGAACACATCAGTGTTTGCAACTTTAATATAAACCATGTCATATTTCCAATGACTTCGGCATATACAAGATAGAGCCTGATAAAAAAAAAACAAACAAAACACACAGTTGTACCAGCACAAGGTTCCCCACCACACAACTTTTAGAAAGACCCTTGGTTATCCCCGTGTTGCACTGAACCCCCCTCTCCTCCCCACATCAACAGCACAAAACAGCTTAAGAAAACGTGGGAAGTGACATTCAATGAACACACCAGCTTTTAAATTAAGGCAGAATAAATAACTGTTCCACTTCAGTGATGGGCATTTTCAGTGAGTGCTGGAGTCTGGAGCATGGCCACCACTCATTGTTCACTGCCCTGTGCTCAATACAGTAGTGTTGGTGTGCCTGGGGCAAGTCAAGCACATGCTGTGAAAGCACCCCCCACCCCCAACCAGATTTCAGCTATGAAGGTATTTTTATTTTTCCAAGCAACTCAGTCTTTCCCCACCCCTCCGTGATCTGGGATTTTCCCCCTACACATTGGCTCCTCCATCACAGCCTTGTTGTTGCTTCAGTAGCTTGCCAATCCTGGACCAGAAAGATAATCCACTCACTTTGAGGAGGATCAGACTGGCCTGAAAGGCCACAGTGCAGTTCAGGTTTCACAGATCTGCAGTTGCCTTTGGAACAATAACTGATGAACTGTTTTTCACTTAGCCCAGAGTGAATAGCTTGAGTGACAAAGTTCACTTAAAGGAAGGAAGCCACTGTTCATAGTGATGCGAAGAGTTTCCTTTTCTCTTGAGAGCTTTGAGAAAAATGTTGGACATAGCTGAGCATTACTCCACAAAAAAAGCAAAAAAGTAAAATAAACATGTCCAGTTAAAGGGACATGGCTCTTGATGTGAATGATGGCACATACCTCAAACATAAATATAACCACAAAGTGAATACAATTCTGCCAAGTAGCACAAGACACTCAGAAAATCATAGTCAGTGTCTCACTTTCCCTGGCAGGGAAACATTCACTTAGGGAGAAAATCCACAAAACAGCAAAAATTAAGATCTCTTCCATCCCAGTTCTGAGCTAGTTAGTGTGTTAGTGCCAATTTCCTTAAACCATGAGGAAAGGACAGTACCAATCCTCTCAAAAGGGGAAAAGAAAACAACAAAAAACCCACAAAAACCCATTGATTTAAAATATGGCTCGTCAAAGCCTTTGTAAAACTTAAAAGTCCTCTTCAGTTGGTGCATATGAAAATCCTAAAAACGCATCTGAGGCACTGGAGCTGCTGGCTGCTAGGTCAGGCGTGCGGGTGATGGAGGCAGAGATGGCTTCTTGGGTGAACTCAGGATCAAAGTGTCGCAGATCAGCTGGGCCAGCCTAGGCCAAGGAGCAGAGACACACAGTCACCAAGTGAGCAAACCCAAACCAAACCCTCTGTTCGGACAGTCAACACAGCTGCTCTTCCAAAAGAGCCATCACCACTGCATGTGCAGGTCCCAACCCACACCTCAGAACCCTCAGTGTCCGCACGAGGCATCTGGAGAGGATCCCTTCTGTAGAACAGACAGGATTACCCACTTACCACATTGGGGTTGAATGGAGGAGTAATCCTCTTGTGATATAAATCATCCCAGTTTATTGGGCTGAAGAATACGTGGTTCTTTATCTCAAGCTGTACAGAAAGCAGGAAATAAAAGTCAATTTTCTGCCAACACTCATTTTCCAGCACCTGGTCGCACAGCTTTAAGTGGTTAATTTGAAGTTACCACTAACTCATATCACAAATCCTTAATACATGAGGGTCCTGGTCCAGGAATCCCCCAAAGGGAAATGACCCATCACACACTGCTGTCCTTAGCTGGCCACCACCCCTCTCCCTCTGAAAATCCAAGTCAACCCCATGTGTCCCTTGCAGGAGGCTGAAGGGACAGACTGTGTGGGAGGGTTTTTCCAAGACATGCTGCTATGAAAGAAATGCTCAGAATAGAAATTTTTCCCATCCATCCTCCCTCCCGCTCTTAGTGAGGGCCACCTACAAAGTCTGTTTTGGCACCCAGCCTCCTCTTCTGGTCCTTGTGGAGAAGTCCCTGAAGGATGTCACAAGCTGCCACAGTCTTGGTTCCTTGGATCTGCAGTGGCTTGTGCAGAATGTTGTCATACATCTGAGACACATCCCGGCTGTAAAAAGGAGGCTAATTTGAAAGAGAGGAGAAGCAGCCAGGTAAGACATGAGCTATCAGAAGGAACCACACATTGCAGGGCAAAATGAGTCCTGAAGTGAGTAGATGAGGGAGACCTGCCACACCTCTGCCCAAAAGGGCAGGTAGGATTGGACCAGATCATTAACTCAGGATTTAGTTGTCTATAAAGTACCTTGTGAACACCAGACCAACCTCACACCACGGCTTTTGCAAATCAAATTTCCACTATGTGAAGTAAACCACCCCATTTCCAAACTTACCAGTCCAAAGAGCATTTCATAGAGAACAGCTCCTAGGCACCACCAGTCTACTGTCCTGTCATAGGGCTGCTTCTTTAGCACCTCAGGAGCCAGATACTGGGGAGTCAGAAGGAAATATTGGAGTCAAATTATAAAGTTAGGGCTTTGCCCTTCTTAGTCCCAAACCTGGCCACAGTTCAAGTTGAACAAATGCATTAAGAGTAACACAGATGCTTTTCCTAGTGTTATCTAATAAACTCTTGACTTGCTTTGGAGCAATGGGGTTGAGAGCCCTCATAGTGTCCTTGCAGGCTACAGGAGGTTCTTTTCCTCAAGTGGACTTCTACAAGAATTTGGCACCTGTCAAAATTCAGCCAGCAATCCTGTCCCACTACGAGACATCACACCTCTAAAAAAATCCTGTATTTTTTGTAAAAGCTGCAGTTTTCAGCACCTGTAAGTATGTCCAAAGCAGCAAAATTACCAAGAGCCACCATCGAGGAGCAACAGGCAAGAAATTGAGCACCCTGAAGAAGAGTTTGCCACACAATTACCTCTGTGCACTATCAGGCTCTGTCTAGAGCAGGAAAACACCAACACACACCAAAACTAGAAAACAAAGTTCAAACATTCCTGCTTGGTTCATGCAGTGCTATTGCATATGAAACCTCACTGAAAAAGGAGGGAAATTTCTTCCTCCTTCTACTGAGCTTGAAGGCTGAAAGGTGTCAAGTTTACAGACCCTTTGTCAAGCTGCCTGGGGAAAACAGCAGGACAGATATATTACCTAGGTTGTAGTGCTACCAAAATCCACAGGCTCAGTAAGAAGCAGGCATAAAAAGCCTCCAAGAAGCCAGACTGGAAATAGTTTTTTGCAAAATCCAGTAGGAGTGCACTGGAGGAAAGGCATTTCCTCCCCTCTGAGCAGTGCTTGCATTCTAAGGGAAAGCCTGCTGCTCCTCCCCTCTGCACAGGGCATTCTGCAGCTCCTGCATGCACCAAGGACACACAGGAGAGCACAGCAAGCTCCTGTGCATGCCAGCACCAGCAGGCTCCTTGTTCTGCACTGCTGTGGTCTCAAAGCAGGTAAACAACCAGCAATCTGCTCCCAGGGACAAGGTTGTCTCCACCTCCACAGCTATTTTCACAAACCTGGCCATTTCCAAGTGCAGGAACCCCTGCCTCAACAGCTCATTCATACTCCAAAATTACTATGTTGTTACAGGTGGAGCTGTCTCTGCTAGATAGGGAAGGCCATATCTGAACTCCAGCTTGAGGCTGACAATTTCAGAGAGCCCATATTTTTTGGGGTGGCACAGAAGCCCAAGTCCCAGAGCACCAAGTGCCTGAAGGTTTCCAGCCCCCAGGTCTCAGAAAAGCCCCAGCACATGCAGTACCTCAGGAGTGCCACAAAAGGTAGAAGTTGTCTCCTCTTGCTCCATTCCTTCTTTGCAGAGTCCAAAGTCTGTCAGTACTATGTGTCCCTGAAGAAAAAAACCAAATTTTAGCTTGTCCCAACTCATTATGGAGAGGAGACAGGATTTCCAAGTATTTTGCCTATGCATTACATCTCGTGTGAGTTTGGTTCCCACTGCTCATCTGCCTCCCCTCCCTCCCATTATATTCATCCTGTAGTACAGATACTTGAGCCTGTAGAAAAAATAAAGTCTAGCTTTCTTCTTATTTTTTATTTGTCTACAGCTAGATAACAACAAAGAGCTCCAGCACTGCTGGGATTTTCTGCCGCTTTATCCCAGAGCCAATTTATGTAACAGTCACCACCAGAGCTGCAGCAGTGACCTGCTCTTCACCACCCTGATCCTTCCCCACAGGTCAGGTCCCAGCTTCTGGGAATGAGCCCCAGAACAATGCAGTTCTTCAGAGGGCAAGCCCACTCATCCCTCCAGGATTTGCACAGAAGTGCAGTGGGGTAGACAGACAAAATCCATGCCATCATGTCAGCTACAGTCCAGTTTGCAAAGCCACAGCCCTCTGCTTATGGTCCTGATGTTTTTAAAGCCAGCAGGAAGCCAGCCCAAGCTGTGAATATACCTGGCAATCCAGGAGGATGTTCTCAGGCTTTAAGTCCCTGCAAGACAAAGTGCTGTTTGAGCAGATTTGGCCAGATATTTAGAAAACATGGATCTGAAACAGCTTCAGCTAAGAACAGGAGTTAACAAAGCCTCCCAAATCCAGATCACCAAGACCTTCCCAAATTGCAGACTCCCATCAGTATACATACATGCAAACATAAATAGGCTGCTTTCACACAGGATCAGGTGCTAGCCTGCATTTCCATGCATAAATTGTTACTGAGAGATGATTTCTTACTTACTGAGCCAGGTTCATTTTATGTCTTTAAACTTAATACTCTCAGACTGATACTGGGAAGGAGAAATATTGGTTTCTAAAGGTTGGAATTGAAGGCACTTGAGACAGCATTTCATGTTTGGATTCAGGTGTTTATTATTTCTTATCTGTTAATCACTACTGTGAGTTTGGCAGCTTTTTCATAGCAAGGCACAAAATGGCTAACTAATTCTTGTTACAAGGCCTTTTAAAACTAAACTATCCAATTAATAAATGACACCTAGGTTATTTTCCCTTTTAACCCAATAACTGATCCCTCAAACCCCACAATGCAGACTTTTCTGTCCAGTCACAAAACATCACCCAAACTCATGAAGAAGGAAGAAGGTGAAGAACAACCTGCCTCTGCCCTAAAGCCTCCATCTTTCTTTATATTTATTTCTATATTCTAAAATCCCAAACTCTAAGTTTTCCACCCTGTGATATTATAGACTTCTATCCAACTACACACCCGTAATCCCAGTGCTATTAATCAATTTTAAATGCCTGTTCCACAACCTCAGATCAAATGCAGTGTTCTCTTGTGGGTCTGTGCCTTTCAGCACAGAAAGTTTAAAATTCTCAGCATCCAGGATTCCAGCAGGGAAAGAATGGTTTATTGCCTGTCAGGTCCTGTGCAGGCTCTCTTGCAGGGGAAAGTGCCAGCAGCACAGTCAGGCTGGGATGTTCTCCAGCTACTCCAGCCCTGCATTTCACCTCCCCAGTGAATCCCTTTCCCTCCCAACACTGCACCCCCTGCCTGGGCAGGCTTGGTGCCCCTGCCTTACCTGTAGATGATGTTTAGGGAATGCAGGTAGCCAATGGCACTGGCCACTTCTGCAGCGTAGAATCGGGCCCGGGGCTCACGGAAGCATCGCTCCCTTTGCAGGTGGAAGAAGAGCTATGGGAAGGTGAGAGTGTTGATCATGTGGTTAAAAACAATGAAAGCTAATTTGGAGCAAGGCTGAAAGACAGCTACATAGGTCAAAAGTGATTTGCAGCAGGTAGCACATTAACAGCATGAAACGAGCCCAAGCCAAGTGAATTTAAGCAATCCAAACACCTTTCTAAAAATGGTTTCATTTCTCCTCCTCATCATTCTCAAAAATTAATAATTAATACTCAGGCCCCCCCATCATCCGCTGACCTGGTTAAGCTCTTAGCTTATTACAGCCCACAGGCTGATTACAGTGGTAGTATGGCCATGAGAAGTAATACCTGCAGAGAGCTGAACATGCAAAAATCCCCAACATGAACTCAATTAGAGCAAGATATCCACCTTAACAATACCTAACAATCAGCACAGAAAGACAGCTGAGAAAAGTAAACTTCTACAGGACAGAAAAAGTCTAGAAAGTTGCAATGGCATCACCCATAGACATGGATCCAGAGCTGGCACACAAGGGCGTTTCCCTAAAGCTCACCAACACCAATATTTCCTGTATTCTCCATAGGATTTTAAAACTCCCCAATACTGCTTTTTTCAGAATCTTTACTTTGGGAATCCCCTGACTCAGGTCATAGCCAGCAAGATCTTGACTCAATTTACAGGTGAGATATCCTGCCAGGTATTCCTGGCTGCTCCTTGCCAGCAGTCAAAACACTATCCCTCAACATCATTATCTTCTGATAAGAAATAGCTTTAAATAAAGCAGCATGTTTGTGAAGGACCAAAAAGGATTGAAACAAAGCCTGTAAGGGCACTCACCTCTCCTCCATTTACATAGTCAAGCACAAAGTAAAGCTTCTCTGAGGTCTGGAAGGAATAGTGGAGTCCCACAAGGAAGGGATGTTTGACATTTTTCAGAAGCACGTTGCGTTCTGCCATGATGTGGTTTTGCTATCAAAAAAGCAGATAAGACATGAAGATTTCAGGCAAAGATCCATCCCAGCCTGCCCTAAGAGCTCACTGATGCTTTTAAAGCAGGTAGAAGCTGGGAGCCCATGAGGGTCATTTCCAGCCCCAAAAAGAGAACCACTCCCTCCTATCTGACCTAATTAACCTCTGTTCTTTTGGCAAATCCATGTTTAACATTTGAATTGCTTACCCAGAGAGCCCATACACCAGCCACAATTTCCAGAATAGCCCAGGAGAGCAGACATACCTCTTTTTTCTTGAGGATGGTTTTCTTATGCAAGACTTTCACTGCATAAAAAGTCCCATCACACTTGCGTTTGGCCAGGAGAACCTGCAACAGAAGGTTCTCTGTCACAGCTGTCTCACCTTGGTCAGGGTTTCCTCATTAGCTACTCTTGTGAGTGATTATACACAGCAAGCTACTTCAGAGGCCAAGGTACATGGTTTTAAAGACCAAGCTCCAGCCCCCTCAATTCTCAGCACTTTTTCATTGCCAGAAGAAAGGCACTCAGTATCTCCACATATATCCCCTAGACACCCAAGAGAAAATAGTTTTGGAGCATTTAGGGCCAGTCCCATTTAAAGTGAATCCTGCCTGTCTCCAAGGTTTCTCTGGAGATCTTTTGCTGAACAAGTTTGAAACTTATTTTGAATCAAGCACTGCTCTCTACCAACACCACCACCCTGAGCATAAAATACCTCACTCCTCAGTCCTTAGAGAGGTTGGAGGTCCTTAAAGTTAGAATAGACTATTCATAACAGTATCTGAGGTCTTATTTAATCTCAGTCCCACTCAGGCCAAGCACCTCAGGAGAGGTGCAAGCAAAGGACACAGGCAGAAACTCCTTCAGCAACACATTTTCCTTCCAAGCTGCCTCCAACCAGCTACAGCCCACCTGCACAAGCCCACTTACTTTTCCAAAGCTTCCTTTGCCAATAACCTTCAGGAAGTCAAAGTCTGTTGGCTTGGCACTGTTGGGCAAGAATGAAACAAGTTAATGTTTCTGGGAGAGAAACACGCAACAGTAACACCACCATCAAAGCAGAGTTCCTGCCTGGAAAAAGGAGTGTTTGTGGAAAGGATTAAAGGGCACTGGTGGGTGACCCTCACTCCCAGGCGGCTCAGGATTCAGCCTGTGTGTGTCAGTGCACCCTGCAGAGCACGAGCACCCTCAGCAGCCCAGGGGCTGAAGGCAGCAGCAGTGACAGCACCCATAAGGACTAAGGGATGCCTTTACAGGGGACACAGTTTATCCCTGTTTCTAGAGAAAGATAGCCAGGAAGTGACAAGATAAACCCTCCCTTACTAGCTCTCAAAAGAAAAGGGATAAGGAGCTACAGATGTAGGATGATTATAATGAGTACCAGCTGCAGCTTAGTCTTGGAAGCTTTGGTGGCACATATGGTGTTAAAGGCCAAGAAACGTAATTGTCCAGACTCCTGCAGACACCACCCTGTGACACACAGGGACCATCTGTATCCTCCTATTAAATCTCTTCACACTCCACACTCTACCTGGCTTTGCAGGGAGCTTACTTGGGGTTAGCAGAAGGTCCGAGGTTGATGTTGTCAGTTGGTGTTGAAGGCTAGAGAAGATAACAAGAATTTTGGTCACAAGGACTATGCTGCAGGTTGGGTTTTCCCTTCTCAACACAGCATCCCTCCCACGGAGCCATCGATAGACACCCAGTGGATACTTCAGCAAACATTTAAGGTCTCTTTAGATGGCCTTATGCACACCCAGCCCCACAGAGCTGCAGCCTCTCTTCCCAAAGACAAGGGGATACATACACACACACACACACACACATTCTCTTCCTCCTGTTCCCTAGGACTCTTACTGTCCCCAGACTCTGGGAACACCATGCCTTGACCAAAAGGGCCTCCCTGCTGGTTTTCCCCACCCAGCATCACCCACAGGACATGGCAGCAGTAACACCTGCTCTCCCAGCAGGATAACACAGGCTCTCCTTGTTTTTCATTAAAGGCACCAGCCCCCTTTGTCCCAAATTTGCTTGTTCAGAGCCATGATCTCACCTGGGTGCTTTTGTCTGGGCTCCGGGAACGATCCATTAAAAAAACAACTCGCTCAGCACTTGAGAAAAGAAGAGGAAGTCAGTGTTGGATACAAAATCTGAGAGAGAAACAGCTTCACACCATTAACTTGCCAGGGAGTAGTGCAAACCCCAGTGTGTTCACCCCTTCCATCACAGGAGGGCTCAGCTGAGCTCCCCAGCACTGCTACCCCCAAAGGATGGGGCACCTGCATTCTGGGGGACACAGGGAATGGTGTGTGCTGACAGGAGATTAGGGAAGCAGGGCTCCTGAGTGAACAAGCTTAATAATATTGGCCCCTGACTCACAATAGCAGAAACTTCACAAGCACAGGAGGGCCAGCACAGCCCCGGGCCAGGTAAAGTCACAGACCCCATCCAGGCAGATGCAGCCCCCTCCCCACTGCACAGGGATGCTGCAGCTCAGTGAGTATCCCCACAGGGCAGCCAGGAGAGTCCAGTAGGTCCAGCCACCACACTCCATGGGACTGGCAGCAGCCAGAGGCCACTCCCCAGGCCAGGTCAGACCAGGGCAGCTCAGGGATGTTGACCTTGCAGGGAAGAGGAGCTGCCATGGCAGCCAGGGCAGGCTTGGTGAGCAGAGGCATTAAAGACCTCTTGTCTGCCTGGTGCAGCTTTTGCTGGGGCTGGAAAAGCCAGACTTGAACACTCATGGGTTCAGATCCATCCTGCCTGAGCACCACTGGGGATGGGTGAGCCATGCCTCAGGGATTCCTCCCTCGTGGTTTCAAGGTTTCCCCTATGCTCTTTGCAAAGGCAAGAATTAAGAAGATAACATGAATAAAACAGCTCTGCTCCTTTCTCCCCTGCCCCAGAGAGCTTAGACCCGTCTCTCTGCCCCACCACACAATGTCAAGGCTCCAAAAGCTCTCATCCAGACAGCCACCCTCCCCTCCCAAAAAGGGGACCCAAAGACCCCACCAGCCTCCCCACATCTCACCTGTGGGTGCTCCCATTCTCTTCCCCCACACACCACGAGGCGCAGACCCCCAGCCACCCCAAAGAAACCCCTCCTGCACAGCCAGGCTGGGCATAGCAGGAGCTGCCGGGCAGCAGCAGATGCTGGCAGCTGTGTCAGAGACTGCCCACATCTGCCTGGTGCCAGCCAGCTCCATCCACCAGCCAGCCAGCACAGGGGTTATCAGCTGAGCTGTTAAAGGGCTCCCATCCCACTGGGAGGGGTTCATACTCACTATGAGCAGAGCCTGGAGCCAGAGGCCTTGATGGTTTGTTCTATCCTCTCCCGGCCGTGCTTGATGAGTTCTGCGAGCAAAGTTGGAGCACCGGAGCCGATTAGCTGGCAGCGTGATCACAAGTGCACAGAGGCACATTTGTTCTTCACTGACCTTGCTCTTCTCTCCACAGCCGGCCTCCTCCCCCTTCCACTCACATACCAAAATAACCAGGAAATTATAGGAACCAGGACATCTTCCCTCCCAGCCTCACCAGGAGCCCTCAATAGCTCACAGGACAGGGATGAGTGCCACAAAACAGACACCCTTTCTGGTGGCCAAGGGGACTCAGGCTGAAGCACCACTGTCAAACCTTCCTGAGCCACCCCTGTGTCCCCAGGGGGGACAAGGAGAATGCTTACAAGGACGAGGTTGTACTGGGATACGTCACACACTTGGCACATCCACTGTCCCTTCCATTCAGGACTCTGTGAGTAATTAGGGACGTGAATGAAACCTTTCAGGCCCTGCAGGAGGTAAGCCAGCACACACACATCACTGCAGTGACTTACTTGCCCAAGGACACATAGCCAGTGCCAGAAGCTGGGATTCCCACCATGGAGCATCCCTGCTGCTCAGCTCTGCAGGCAGTTGCCACCACTCATCATCATCATCATCACCTCTCCCTTCACAGAGAGGAAGCCCTGAGCCTGCTCCCTGCTGCACAGGCTGAGCCAGAGGGAAGCCCAAGGAGTGCAGCCTGTACAGAGGAGTTCCTTGTTTTGCTTAGAAGTAGATAGCAAAATTATCAAAAAGACTCAGTTTTACTCCTCATTTCTGCCACTGAAGGGAAAGCAAGAATCAAAATATTCACAGAAATATGTGTTTCCTTCTCCATCTAAAAAGAAGGGATTTATAGACACAAGCAAGCTGTCATCCTGGACTAGCTCTTCTACTGACCAAGGAATGGACAGCACCAACTGCCAGAGCCCATCTCCCTGGGCAAGGATTTTGTAGGACAATGAGTTTTGAGGCAAACAAGCCCATAACAGAGCCCTTCCTGAATGGATCTTTGGATCTGCCAGGCTGGGGGTCCTGTGAGCTCCTGAGAGCCCCTCAGCAGATCTGGGATTGGGGGGCAGCTCTGATGAGCAGCCAAAATACCAAGCTGTGAGTTTAGAATTACTGAATGGATAAGAAAGGCAAAGCAGGAATTTAAAGCAAAGCCCACAAACCATGCAGAGGGAGAACTTACAACATCAGGCTGGTCTGAACCCCTGACCTTGTCCGCACTTTCCCTTGCAGCAAGTCCAAGATCCTGTCCCAGCTGGCAGCCACCAGCAGGGACAGCACCCAGACAGATCAAGCCCCATCTCCTCCCACTGGGCATAGTCCTTTCCCTGACAGCCTGGCTCTCCCAGGTCTGCTGAAGGTCATCCAACACCAGCCTCAGGGCTGTGTCTGCCTCACAGGCTGGGCACATTCATGGCCACAGCAGAAGGAGATCACTGCTGCTGTCTCTGGGCAGACAACGCTCCCTGAAGGATCCAGGCCTGGGAGGAGGCTGGCACAGGGCACACACGTGTGTGTGGACAAGCCCCAGGCTGCACATGGCAGTGGGGAGAGGAGTGAAGGTTCCCACCCCTACTCAGGAGCCTCTTGCCATCCTAACACCTCACTTCTGCAGCTCCATTGGGTGACACAGCCCATTTTCTCCAAATCTGAAGCCCCACAAGTGTGGGTTTGGCCTCAGGGCCAGCTTGCTGCCTCTGTTCTGATCCTAGACTCAGGGGAAATAGTGACTCAGGCGCAGAGGGAGATATCACAGCTTTGGCATCTTGGAGAACACATGGATAAGCCATGGAAACATATCCATGCCTTGGAGGTATTTACAGGATGCAGGATAAGTTCCTGAATCACTCCAAGGGGCTTGGCAGCTAGGCAGGAGCCCCTTCCCACCTGGCAGCCCATTCATGCCTCCCTCCAGCAGCCCTGTTCTGCTCCAAAATGCCTCTTTGCTGGAAGTGAAGCCACTCAACAAGTCCCCATTGACCAAGGGCAGCCTTTTCAAATACTTTTACATTAAAGGGACTTGCTCCGAGGTTAAAGTCTCTGGCACTGAAGTACCATTCCCATTTGTAGGATGTGTATATCCCCATCCCACATCACTTTCTATTCAAGTTCCAAGCCACCTTCCCCAGCCCAAGTCCACCTTCAAAACCAGGTTAGTTTATGGTTTAAATTCCACAAACAATAAAGAAGGCTTTTCCTTATCACTAACAAACCCTACTCCCCCTAAAGCAGACAGATTTCCTGAGCGCACACACTGAACAACAGAACCAGAAATAGGTCACGAAGATACGCTGGAATCTTGGTTATCCATGCCCGGCTGCATCCCTCCTTGTGCAGCACAGATGCTCCAGGCACAGCCAGGGCCACACAGAGCATTGGCAAGCAAGGCTAGGAGTTCCCCAATATCATGGGACTGTTACACATCAAGAACACAGACCCCTGCACCCCACTCCCCCCTCCTCAAACACCATTTCACCCCAGCTCCCAGCCACAGGCACCCCCAGGCTGGAAGCACCTGCTCACACAACAAAGCTGCTACTTCCAAGTTGGAGCAGTTACTGCAGCTAAATGTCCCCCCACCACACATCCCTGGGTAACATACGTTTGCTTCCCAGCACAGCACGAGCAGCTCCCTGTTCCTCGCCCAGTTCTGGCAGTGCTGACCCACATTCCCATGCCAGCCCGGCGTTATTTGCTACAAACACATCACTGATGCAACGCGTACCTCGCACGGAGCCACAGCCTCACCGCTCGTCATCCGCGGGCTGCTCCCACCTCCTCCCTGATGTCACCGCTCCCGGCAGCCGTCCCTGCCTAACCTACATTGCAAACCCCTCCGAGCCAGCCCCTCGTCCCCTGCTGCTCTGGGAAGGGCTGGCTGCCAGCCTGGAGAGGCCTGGCAGGGCTGTGGCTGGAGCAGCAGGTGATGTTGTGGAGGAAGCTCGGAGTTTGGAGGGGCAGAGGTGAGGGAAGGGCACCAAAGGCAGCCCAGAGGCTTCACCCAGCACAGGAGCTGCTCACAGCTTAAGGGGGAGATGCCCCAGTTTCAGCTCAGCGAGGAGCAGGGAGGGAGGTGGGAAGGAGGATTCCTGCAAACATCTGCTTTTACTGGGGAGAGAAGAAAAGGCTCAAGTCTTCCCCTGCTACAGATCTAAGAGATAGCTGCAAGCTAGTACTGAACTCCACTTTCATCCCCATTGAGACACTACAGCAAGTCCAGGAACAGGTTAGGAAAGACTTTAAAGATGTTCTGCATTTCAGGAAGCTTTCTTAGCCACCCTCAGGAGAGCTCCTAGCTTGTCAAATTTTCTCCTGCAAATCCTGTTCCCTACATCCCAGGGACACTGCAAAACAGAGCAGGAACCCAGCCAAGCAGCTCTGGCTCAGGGCAAGCTGGAGACAGCCAGTCCTCAAAATTTTAGAGAAAAGCTACATGCAGAACTGAAAGAAAACAGCAGGTGGCTAAAGCTTGAAGCACTTTGCAAAAAAATAACTCTACAAAAACAAGTAATCAAACATACCTGGGAGCACATCCCCCAGAGGCTGAGTCCTGAAGCATGGGAAGCAGTCCACAAGCACCAAGCACAGAGACCTCTCATTGCCCATCCCTTCACCAGCCCACCCTGCCTGCCCTGTCAGGCCAGGAGCCCAAAGCTCCTTCCTAAAACCTAGAGGGGAAGAGCTTTGTTTCCTGCAGCAGCTCATTTAGCCCCTAAACACAACCACCCCAAACTCCTCAGAGTGATCATGCCACTGCTGGTGCCTCACCAGAGCACTTTAAAGAGAGCAGAAAAAGCTGACCAGCTGCAAAAGATGAAGAAACACCTGCTAGCTGTACCCAAGGAGTGAGAATTTAGGTGGGAGGGAGAGCTTTGGGTGGGGAGGAAGAGGTGCAGGTGGTGTGAAGAAGCAAATTACAGCCTGGCAGGCAGCTCAGGTGTTCTGAATAATTTTTGACAAGTCAGCTGGAAATTCATCTGCTGTCCAGTGGTTTGGAGGAAGGTCAAAACTGGCATTTGGTTCAGGTCAAACCCTGAAGAAGTTGATTTTTACACTGTCCTGGGGACCCTGGAGGACTGCAACCAGGCTGGTGCTTTGGAGCACTACTAACTGCAAACATAAACACATTGGGAGCCTGGTGATTTGAGAGACCAGAGACTGAGCTCTGAGCAAAAGGAAACTTGATGTCTTCACTCTGTTCATTAAATATAAAGCAGCTGCTTTTTGCTTCCATTGTAGTTTCCTGTTAAAATCTCCCTGTGTGCCGCTGCAGCAGCAGGAAAGCAGCTTCTGGCAGTGCAATTTCAGTGCTGGGTGCAAGGAGGTCAAAGCCAGGCTATGGCAGCATTACCTGTGGGAAGCAGAAAGGGTGGCCACGGTGGGATGGGCCCCACACCCAGACTGCAGGGGGAAATCATTGGGAACATCTGATGTGCTTGGTGCCATGGGTAATGAGGGAGGGGAGCAGCATTTTGCTTGAAATATTACCTTCTTTCAGGTCAAAAGCTGATGTTCTGCTCAGAAAATATTCTCAAACTATCAGCATTAACATCTTTTAGGAATATGCCTTGTTTTTTGTTTTTTTTCTCCATCTTTGCCTCCACTTGCATTGAAGTGGTCAAGTTTCAGAATAATTTCATCAGCTAACTGACATTTTCTAGTCACTGCCTTCTGCTTTTGTTTCTTTAATGAATATCTTGGTGTTATCAACAAAATCTACTTGATTTAATTTCCATGGAAAAAGGCATCTTTAATTAAAAACCCGCTTTCTATCTAAAAGAAGACAAAGTGGGGAGGATCCTGTAAGGAAAATTTTAACAGCTAAAATGCATAAAACACCTAATCTGATGACAGATAGTGATGGATAAAGTGGTGCTGGGTTTTGTCCATCCTACCCCCTCTGTGAGGATCACTGACCCTGCAGGACTGGGTGTCACTCAGGGCTGGGTGTGCAAGGCACAGCTGCCACCTCTGTGTGTCCCAGGGGAGCCAGGCTCCCTGCAGCCCTGCTGGGCAGGCTGAGCCCACCAGGAAGGCTCTGCAGCCCATCACCAGTGGGAAACCTCCACGGGGAAGCCTTCTCCATGCCCTCACCCTGCCCAGGGCTCAGTGGCACCGTGCCACCCAGCAGCATTACCCTTTGTCTTGCCCAGGGCAGTGGAAGAGGGCTCCATCCAGGCCACGGACATAAGCCAGCCAGAATAATCTCCTCTCCTTGCAGCTGGGGCAGGAATTCAGCTGCTGGCCCCGGGTGTCCTCGGGAAGCAGAGCACGCAGATGTTCCTCCACCTGCAAAGGTGAAGGGCACAGGAATAAGAGCAGAGACAAGTCCTTGGGTGCAGCACTGGCTGCCTGTCAGCCAGGCACGGCTCTGGGACACGGGGACGGCACCAACCCAACATTCAGTCTGGTGAGATTACTGGGGGGCTCTGCCATCACCCCAGTGACAAAGCACTTTGGGACTGGCAGACAGAGGGAATGGAAGAGAACTGAGAGGTTTGGCTCCTGTAACACAGAAGAAATTTACCCAAAACCTGTTAAATACATGTATTTCTGCTGTCAAGAAAGGATTTGGGGTTTAGATGCTTTTGAGGAGCTGAAACTCAGTTCACCCTACTGTACCCAGGGTGACTGCTCTGAGACCAGGTGGCTCCCTGGCACAGGAGCAAACATTCCCTGGAAGCACAGGGACACATGGCCCACTGGTGAATCCCCAGTGCAGGGCAGGTCCTCATCAGAAATTCAACATCAGACACCTAGGGCAGCTGCAAAGGGCTCTGCCTGTGGAACCCTGTGACTGTCCCTGGAGAGGGGACCAGGGGGAGCAGTTGTCACCATGATGGGGACATGAGTGGGACAGGCAGGTGTGAGCAGGGTTGGCCTCCTGCCCTCCCCATGTGTAAGAGGTGAGGCTTTGCCCTTGGCCTGCCCTGTGTGCCCACAGCCAGTCCCCCCCCTGTCTCTCGCCCATCAGTGCCCGTGGCAGGACACATCAGTGCCACACTGAAGGGACTTGTGCAGGGCACACACATCACACAGGCACGTGTCCCTGTGGGTGCCAGCAGGGTAACCATGCCCCCAACAGCAGCACTGACCTTGGCCCATTCCCCTGCCCAGGACTCACACGCTCCTGAACAAAATTAAACAATTCTGGTGGAGCTGGAGAGCTGCTGATGTCAGGGCTGGCTTTTGCCAACATTGCTCTTCTTCTGTGCCTGGCTGCTGTTTCCCTGCCCTCCAGAGAACCCATCTGTGCCAGGAAAACCTCTGGCTGGACCTGAGTTCAAAGGTGAGGAGCAGATCTTGGGCAATTTGACCCATTCTGTGCACACCTCCTGCCTGACCCTGGCCAGACCATGAGGGGAACAAACTGGCCACAGAGAGGGATTTTTTTTTTCAGCTGGACTTGCCCAGCTCAGAGCCTTCAGATATTGCCTATTGTTGGAAACATCTTCTTTCCTCCCAAGGGAGGGAAGCTGCCTTTCTCTCCCCCAAGCCCTATGTGGGTCAAGGGCTGTGTGGTCCTTCCGTGGCTGAGTTGGATCCCTCCAGGAAGGACCATCCCAGCAAAGCCACGTTTGCAGCTTCACCAGGACAGGGCACATCCAGTGAGGACAACAGGTCCAGCCCATTGTCTCTACACACAGAGAAGTACCCTCTCTCTCTCTCGTAAAATATTTTATATGCTATTCTACAGGGGAAGATAATCCTAATCTCCCTGTCTAACAATATCCATAACCATAATCATAAAAGTGTCACTGAAGCAGATCCACAGAGTCCTGAGCAATTGGAATTGCAGGGAAAGTCCAGATAAGGCTAAAACAAATAATTCTCTAGAAAACACAAAGCAGGAGTCCATGGATCTGCAGTAAAAGGTGACCTAAAATATTTGGCTACTCAGTTATTTCTGCTGAGTAAGAGCTAAAATGGGACAGGATTAGGGATAAGATGATTA